CCTACACTTTTTCCATCCTGTGGCTCTGCCATCCCCCAGGGACCCAAATGCTCTATCCAGTCAGTAGACAGGGGAGTAAGAGTGGGGGGATGTTACGGGGTAAGCCTTGAAGTGATACACATCTCTCTTGCTTGCATTCCTTTGGCTAGAACCCTGCCTCATGACTGCACCCAACTGGGAAGGGAACTGGGAAATCTAGTCCTGGCTGGGCAGCCACTTCTCAGTGACAACTCAGCACTATTGACATTTTTGGCTAAGTCATTCTTTGAGGTAGAGAGAGGCTGCCTGTGCATTGTAGGATGTTTAGCAGCATCCCTGGCCTCTACCCCATAGATGCCAGTAGCACCTTCCAGTTGCCCCACCCCAGCTCAGGGCCTGGGCTTTCCCTCGAAGCCTGCCTGGGCCCTGTAGCCCTTCTTTGTGGCCCTACCTGCCCTGTGGCCTCCACTTCTGCCCTCACATTGTTAGAGCCCCCCATTTGCCACCCTCTCTCCCCCTTGGCTTCAGAAGACTCTTTAATCTTTTTCTCAGGTCAGAACGAAAACTTCCGGGCATCTAGTCTATGGTTCCTACTTGACTGAGGCCGAGTTCTCTGGAGCTTCAGGCCTTGTTTTCTTTCTAAAACAAACTCTGATCTTATCTGGACATTAGGCTTATCTTGGCGAGTCACTAGACTGCACTGGGCTTTTTTGCAATGTGATATTGTAAAGACACCTCCACCCACTGCTGCCTGTTGAAGGCGCAGGCAGGGAGCCAGCTCTGGGGGCTGGGCTGGGAGCCCCACTCTCCTAGGCTGGATGGGGGAGAGCTATTACTCTCTTTGCCTCCTGCCTCCCTATTGTCCTGCAAATGTTTCCGGGGTCCCTATCCCTGCCTTTGCCCACATCTCTCCTGGCTCAGACTATTGCAGCAGTCTCCCAAGTGGTGCCCCTTCCCTTCTTGCCTATTCCCCACAGAGAAGCCAGACACATGCCAAGCCATGTCACTTGGCTTTTCTTTCCTAGAAATGAAAATCCACGTGCTGTATTCAGAGCTGCTTACCTTTCCAGATATTGCTGCTAAAGCAGCCATGCCATATATTGTTTTTTTTATTTTATTATTATTATTATTTTGAGATAGGGCTTCACTCCATTGCCTGGGCTAGAGTGCAGTGGCACGATCATAGCTCACAGACAATGTCCAACTGCCGGGCTCACATGATCCTCCTGCCTCAGCCTCCCAATCAGCTGAGACTACAGGTGTGCACCCCCACACCAGGCTAATTTTTCTATTTTTTTGTAGAGTCGAGGTCTTGCTATGCTCAGCCTTGTCTTGAATTCCTGGCCTCAAGCGATCCTCCTGTCTCTGCCTCCCACAGTGCTATAATTATAGGTGACCTACCATGCCTGGCTATACAGTCTTAACAGATAGCTTTTTACATACATGTTCTGACTGCCACGCCTCCGTGCTCTCTCTCCTCCCTCTACCTGAAAAGTCATTCCTCTTGTATGGGCTGAACTGTGATCCCCACAAATTCATATGTTGAAGTCTTAAGCCCCAGTAGCTCAGAATGTGACCTTATTTGGAGATAGGTCTTTAAAGAGGCAACTAAGTTAAAATGAGGTCATTAGCATGGGCTGGTGTCCTTATAAGAAGAAGAAATTTGGACCAGATGCATACCATGGTAAGACCATGTGAAGACACAGGGAGAAGACAGCCATCTACAAGCCAAGAAGAAAAGCCTTAGAAAGAACCAACCCTGCCGGCACCTTGATCTTGGACTTCCAGCCTCCAGAACAGCAAGGAAATAAATTTCCGTTGTTTAAGCCACAGTCTATGGCACTTTGTTGTGGCAGCAGCGCTAGCAAATCAATACACCTTCTATTTCCCACTGCCCAAGAATAAAATCCAAACTCCTCACCATCCCCCAAGACCCTGCATGATCTGGCCTCTCCCCTCCCACCCCCTCTCCTGGGCGTCTCCCATTGCTCACCTTGATCCAGCCCCGCCCTCTTTCTCCAGGTCCCCTTCCCTTTTTACAGCCTTGCCCATACTCTCTGTACCCAAAGCCCCTTCCCCAACTCTTGGCATAACTGCCTTGCTTGATGTCAGATCACATCTTCAAGGTTATCACCTCAGAGAGGCCTTCCCAGACCATCTCTTTAAATACACCCCATATCCTTTCTCCTAGCACCGTGAACTTTCCCTTCATGGCATCCTTTAACTAGTAAGTTTAGGAATATTTGTTTATTTATTGCCTGGCTTCATCAAGTGAGAGACTGTTCACTAGGTGTCTATTCCTTATCCAGCACAATACCCAGACACGTGATGATGCTCAACAAATATTTGTTGAGTAAATGAATCTTCACCTTGTTAAAATCTTTATCCGGACCGCAGGAGCCAGCCAAAATCCTGCTTCCCTCCTTATATTAGCCTTCCAATCCCCCAAGTTCAAGAAAAGCTCACTGTTTTGATACGTCTCTATGTAGCACGCCCCTTATTCAGTCATGGCGATTATGGCTGTCTGACTGTATCAGTTATGTGTGGGCTTCTGCCCTGTGTCCTCCCAAAGCGGGACCGCACACTGTGCATCTCTCATCGCCCACAGCACAGCCTCGCTCAGGGCCCGGAGCTCAGGAGGCGCTCAGTAAATGCATGTGGACCCAAATAGATCAGAGAGAGGCAGGATCGGCGCAGGATGTGAGTAACTGGGCCGACCACAGGGATAAAAAGGGTACCCCTACCTCCATAGCCCCCAGGGAGAAGGATGACAAACGTTCCTATGGCCAGGGAAGGTTTTGGGGTAAACATCTGCTGGTTGCAACCACAGAGACAAGTTCTGGGGATGAGAATGAGATGAGGGAAAATCCATTGGTCTGGAGCCCCAGAACTAGAGAGCAGCCCAGAATGGCTTCTGCCCAGCTGTGGGCTGCAGAGGAGGCCTGGGCATCTCTGCCAGATCCTTTCTCTGGAGGAGAACCCCACCTCCAAGAGAGGGGGAGGGTCCGAGATTAGGAGACTAGGAGTCAGGAGCCCACCCCTAGGCAATGCTCAGCCAACTACCCCCAAGGCCACCACCACTCCCGGCCTAGCCAGTCCCTCCCTCCTCTCCAGCGCTGGTGGGAAGGCTGAGCCCTCTCTTTCGGGGGCTGGGTCTGGACAATGGGAAGGGAAAAGCCCCCTCCTCGCTGCCCCAGGGACATAAAGCAGGCCTTTCACTGAGGAGTTCTGGCTGCTTCGGTTGGTTCTTGGCACCCAGCGAGGCGGCGTCGGGAGGGGCGGGCCGGCAAGTGTGTTGGGGGTGGGGACGGGGCCGGCGATTCTGAGCAGGCTTGCCCGCCCTGGGCCACGGAGCTGGCTCCCCAGCTGTGGGATGAGCTCATGCGGGGAAACCGGAACAACTTGGGGTGGGGGGAGGGAGGAAGACCCGCATCCAGGAGCTGCGAAAGCGTGGATCCGGGGAGCAAGTTTTTCTTGGGGAGTAAGGACAACCATCCACTCCCCTGGCCCTGCCCCCTCCTTCCAACCCGGGTCGCCAACCCCAAAGCCCCTCTCTACGCCCTTCCCCGGAAATTTCCAGGTCCAGCCGCCCGCCGGCCACTGCCGCCTTGGCCACACAGATGCCAGGTCACCGGCTTGGCCAAAACGCGCTGCTCCCTGCGCCCGGAGCCTCTGGCAAAGCGGGTGGGGGCGCCCATCGGCAGGTGTCCTTCCGCTGCTAGCGCCGGCGTGGGCCTCCTCCCCGGGCCTTGCCCCTCCCGGTCCACTCTAGCCTTCCCCCTCCCCGAAGCGTCTCTTCCCTCTCGGCGAGAGTTTGGCGTAGACAGCGAAGGAGCCATCGTGACTGGCGGAGGAGTGGAGGGTAGACGAGACAGAGACTGCGACCGAGTCGGGGTGGGGGAGGAGGCGGGGACCGACGCTGAGCCCTTGGGGCCTGGAGGCAGCGGCTACTGGGGAGAGGTGGGGACCGGCTCACGCCATTGGGAGGAACTCGCCGGGTTTGGGGTCGTGGCTGGAAGGGAGAGGGGGAAAGGAAGAAGCAGGGTCCGGTTATTTAAATGTGAAGATAAATTGTACAAGTAACTCTTGCACCGTCTTTCCACAAGCCTCACTCTCCACCCTCCCCCTAACGCACCCCCTCCCCCCCTCACACAGGCATTTCTTCCTTCATCCTGATATTTCGTGTTAGCGTAGGGATGGGACCGCACAGGGTCAAATAAACCGGTAACCCCCCGGTCCCACCCCACCTGCTTTCCAATTCTTAACCCCTACTCAGTCTACACAGACACACCTCTCTCCTGGGGAGGGGTAGGGGGCTATTGTGAATGAGGGTCTTAATCATCGCCCCCGGCCCCAGATTGCAAGTTCAAAGCCACCACCCAAGATCAGCTTGTAAGAGCCACGACTTGGGGAACCGCGTCCTTCTTTGGTTACCTTTCCCAGACAGTATTCCAATTTCCAAACGCGGAAGAGGCGTGTGTGTATGTGCCTGTGTGTGTGAGTGCGTGTGTCTATGTCACTGTGCGTGTGTGTGTGTGTGTGTATGGAGGGTGCATTAATGGGTGATCTTATACACGAAAACGGGAGGACTGAACTTAAAAGAAACTGGTCAATTGTAAAACAAACAGGAATAAACAACCCTTTAGATGTAATTTGTGGTTTATCTGGAGGCGGAGGTGGCGCTGAAGAGGAACCCCCACCCCCCAATATTTTTTCCTTGCCTGCGCCTCCCCCAGCATTTGCAGCGGCGGAGAAGCGGCTCCGGAGTGATTAATCCGGGGATAATTCACCCCCCCGCCCCCCGGCGCGAACCCCGCGAAGCGGGATTGGAGCGAGTCATTTCCGAGAGCGCAGCGCGCCTCTCCCCGGCCGGGCGGACACTTGGTTCATTCCAGCCGCAGAAGCTCAGGGCTCCCGCGTACCGGGATTTTTTCCGAGCAGAAAAAAGCTCCAGAGCTCTCCTGACCTCCTTTCTCCTCAGCGGCGAGCGGAGCCTCTCCCTCGGCGCTGCCGGCCGCGCCATGCCGCGCTCGCGGGGACGGGAGCAGGGGCGCTGCGGCTGCCCCGCGGGCAGGGCTCGCGGCGGAGCCGGGATTTCGGCGCTCGTGCCGGGCGTGGGGAGCCGCTGGGGCCGCCCGCCGCCGCCAACGCCGCCGCCGCTGCTGCTGCTTCTGGGCTGGGGGCTGCTCAGCGCCTCGGCCGCCGCGGGTAAGTCCGGCCGCGCCGGGAAGCCGGCGGCCGCCGCGCGCCCCACCCGAGCCCCGAGCCCACCCTTCCTCGACCGGCTCGCAGTCCCTTCCCCCGCCCCATCCCCGCCTGAACCCCCCACCCTCCTCATCCTTGCCTCTGTCTTCCACCCCACCCTCAGCCACGTCCTCACCTCCACCCACACCCTCATTGCTACCTCCAACCCCAGCCGCAACTTGGCCGGATCCCGCCGGTGTGGGGGCCTGGGAGACAGATATCCTCTCCCGGGATTGCGGGGCACCTGGACTGTGGCTTCAGTTTCTCCAGCCTCCTAGCCCCCAAGGTGCCAGGCTTTTTCCGGATAAACTTTCCCGGAGCCCTACTCCCTAGGCTCCCGATTCTGCTAGGCACGCTAGTCCTGGGGGCTAGAGAGGAACGGCGCGCCCCCTCCCCATTTGCGCGTCTGCAAGGTCTGCCCTTCCCTGCCCCCGCCCATTTTCTCCCAGTGAAGCCCTTGCCCCCGCCGGAGCCGCCCGGAGACTGCGGCCACCGTCCTTCTCCCCAAATACCCCCCTCTCTCGGCTCTCGGAACTGGGAGGGGGGGTTCAGGTGGGAGCGCGCCCAGGATGGGGGTCCCGCGCATTCTTTGCAGGAGGGCTCAGGTGGGGGCTGGAGGATGTTGAGCGACGGAGAGGAGGGGACAGGGGTTGTACCCGGGGACGGAGGAGGGAGTGTCGCTGCTAGGCTCCGCGCCGCCACATTTCCCTTGGTTCTCACTCCGCGCCAAAGTGCCCTTTCCCGCGCCCTGCTGCAGCCGAGCGAGCGCCCGGGCTGCGGCTGCGGCGGCGGCGGCGCCGGCCGCGGGACCTGCTGCCGACGACCGAGTCCGGGAGGGGGCAGACCTGGCGGGTGCTGACAGTCCCGCAACTTCGCCGGTGTCTGGCTGTAGCTTGCAGCCTACGAGGGAGGCACGCGAACCTTCGAGGGAACCCCGTGCCCAGTGGAGACCGCTGGCCTCGACTGGTCCCCTCCCACTGTACCCACGGCACTAGCCCTAGCAACAACCTAGAAAGTTCCGTGTGCCCGGGTGGGGACGGGTCCAAACAGGGACGCATTTTTATTTAGCCCAAAAGCTGACACCCACTGGGGGAGAAAACCCGAAACACCTGCTGCCCAGGCCTGGACCCAGGGCACTTCCAGCCTGCGGCCGTGGGTTTTTTTGTTGTTGTTGTTATGATTTGTTTTGGCTTTTTTGTTTTTTAGCCACCTACTGAACCTCTGAAGGCTTGGCCTCAGCCACCCCAGTGCCCCTTCTTGGAAAGTGCGGCCCTCCCCTGGCAGGCCCGTGAGTGTTGAGCTCTCTGGTCCACTCTGGTCTCCAGCATCTTGTGAGCCCGTTTCCGCAGACCGTGTCGCCCACCCCTCAGCCGCGAAATGTTGGAGTTCGAGGTCAGGGAGGGCGCCTTGAGCCAGCTCTGGCTCTCACATCCCTACTTGACCAGACTTTCTTAGGTTCTGCTAAGAGTCATAGCCACTGACACCCAGAGAGGGGCGCCCGCGGCGCGCGGGCCTGGTAGCTCTGGCCTGGCGCACACCCACACCCACTGGGAGGCTGTCCATTCCGGACGCCGCTGGTCACCCAGACTTGCCACATGGGCGGTGGGAGGACCGCTGCTGCTGGCTGTCAGGCCTCTTGGATGATTGTCCAGGTGAGGCCCCCAGTCTGGCTTAGCTGGCTGGAGAATCACTCTGAATCCGAGTGGATTATTTTTCTGGCTAGATTTGTCCTGCCCCTTGGCCATGTCCTCCCCCTGGGGAGAGGAAAAGGCCGACTCCCCTGTGCGTGCGCCCTGCTCAGTGGTGCTGGAATCCTGCTCCGTTCGCGCTGCAGGCTTTGGTCAGTAGAGAAGTTGGGGGCGGGGGCGCTGTGTGAAAGGTCTGGGAGGGAGTAGCTGCTCCCTGGCAGGCCCTGCTCCGTGCTCACAGTGCGTTTCTTTTCAGACCTTTCCGGCATTTAGGTGGGCTGTTTGGCCTTGCAGGCGGCAATGATTAGGAAATGGACTTGGTGAGGGAAGATGGGCAGGATTTGGCACATTAGAGGGGGAAGCACATTCATTTTGTGTTCGCATCACACTGTGGACTTTAAAAGACGCTCAGGACTGAACTGGCTCTCTCCTTTGGGTCAGTGATCACTTGGATGAAACGAATAAAAGGATTTGGAAAAGGGGGAGCCTCTCATCTGCCTTTGCCCTCTTCCTTCCACACCTTCAGCCTGTGTCCTGCCCCCTCCCTGAACACCCACCCCCCAGCCGCCTTAGGGGCTCCCAGGGTTACCTGCTCTCCCTCTATCCATCCTTTCCCTCCGGTCTAATAACACATTGCCCCCAGGCCTATGTAGGCCCTGCTGGCTTCTTTGAGCCACCACGCTGTCTCTGTGTGTCACAGCATACTCTCTCCAAAGGGGTCTTCAGTTCATTTCTCTACTACCAGTCACTCCCTGCAGTCCAGCTTCTGTCCCCAGCACTCCACTGGAACACTCTAGCCTCCTAGCCAATGACCATCCTACCTAATTGCCAGATCCACTGTACTTTCTCTGTCCTTCCTTTACCTCTCTGTGGCTTTGGACACTTTGGGTCACTCCTTGTAAAATTTCTCTTCCTTGGGCTTTGGGGACACTATGCTTTTCTGATTTCTCTCCTACCTCTTGTGTGTTCCTTCTCAGTCTCTAATACCAACACTCATTCCCCTCCCTGGAGTATGGTGCCTGCTACATTCCATTCTGTGTACTGTTCCCCATTCCCTTTCTTCCCTCCCTGGGTGAGTTTATCCGTGTTCATCCCTTCCCCTACCACACTCTAAAGCTTCCAGACAGATTCTCCTGCCAAGATGTCTCCCCTGATGTATGTCTATTGGCTTCCTAGTCCACAGAAACTCTGGGTCCAGACAGCCCATATATCCACCTGACTTGTGGACATTTTCACCTAGGTGTTTCCCTTCCAAAGCAAACTCATTAGCATCTCTCCTAAGCCTCCAGTATTCCCTGTGTGGGCCAGTGGTACCTGTAGCCTTCCAGTTATTGAGCTCAGAAACCTTAGGATCATCCTCAACTCCTTTTTTATCATATGGCCAACAAGTTCTGTCAGTTTTATACCTTCAATTATTCTCAAACCTAGCTACTTTTCCCTGGATTAAGAAGCCCCAAGCATTGAAAAGGCTATAATACCTCCCACCCACTTGATAACTAATTAAAAATGAAAGCAATATTAAACTATAAGGAATTCCAACAAAGTTCTGATTTTTCGCATGCCAACTACTTAATGACTTTAAACAAAATCAAATACTAAATTATTATTTTTTTAATTTTCCCCTGCTTTGCATGCTTTGCCTGAGTGTTTGCTTTTAGTCGGCCTCTTGTGGGCTAGAGCACTGACTGTACCCAGTATTCTATTATGGTACAAATTGAATTATATTAAAAGCATTTGTCTGTCTGCCTGACATATGAAACTGTGGGCTTCCTGAAGGCAAGGGCAGTGCTTATTTCTCTTGGTATCTCCAGCACCTAGCTCAGGACCTGGCATAGAATTGGGGTTTGATGTATGGCTGTTCTATCAGTTGATTTTTACATTTTTCTTCTTGAATAGTTTTCCAGGGACTGATAAGGCTAAATCAGGAGTTGTAGGAGTCCAGGAGGCCAGGACAGAGACACCTGATCCCCAGTTGCTTTTCCCCCACAGCTAAGCGGCACAGATTGGTGAGACAACTCCCTAAATTCTAGAACCAATGCAAGAACAAGCCCTTGGCACACAACGCTCCCCGCAACCCCACGCCAAAGAGAGACATTTAACTGCTCAGTCACCAATGTGTGTATGGATTTGAATTTCCATTTGCAATTGAGCTGTGGGTTTATGGTTTTTTAAAACAATAAGCTGACTACAGCAGAGAGCACTGACCATATCTAGGGCTGGTGAGTGTGTAGCTTTGTTGAAGGTGAGACCAGAATCATGCACTAGGGACTGGAGGGCCAGGCTGTGGTGTCTTGGACACTGCAAGGTGTGAGCTTGTGCAGAATAGCCCAGCAGGTGGCTTCAGCAGCACTCATGTGCTTGACCTGCCTGTTTCACCATCATCATCAAACCAGCAGGATTAAGGGAATCTGATGGCTCAGCAGAGCCTTGTTGAAGACCTAGTTGATCTTCACACCTCTCAGGTTCAGGTTCCTAACCTGCAAAAGGGACAAGTAATTCCTGCATTTTGGGAAGGTTTAGAAACCAGAGATACAATGGGCCTGGTGCCACACCTACCTCATCTAATGTGCCTATTAAATGGAAGCTGGAGCTGAAACAGGAGCACTAAGGACAAAGGAACCAGCCAGGAGGTCTGTGTGCCTTCACCGTGTCCTCCCCCACCTAATGCTCAGAAAGCTGTTCTGGGCACCCAGGGGAGCCACAGCAATACCTAATGTTCACTGAGTCCTCACTGGCACCGTTTCAAGCACTTGCATGTATTAATTCAATTCTCCCAGCAGCCCAGTGAGGTTGGCAGTGCCATTATCCCCATTTTATAGATCAAGAAACAGGTTCAGAGAGGACACATAACTTATCCACATAAGAAGTAAATGGCTAAGCCAGAGTGTGGATCCAGGGCTGCCTGACTCCAAATCCTTTACTCCTAACCACACTGCTGGTCAATTTCCTAGGGACCCAGCTGGTGCTGTGCCCCTGGAAGCTTCTGCCCAGGCTGCCGTCCTCGGCCTTGCTCGTCCGCTGGGCTGTTCCCATCAGTTACGCTATGCGGTGCTGCCAGTGCCCCACACTTCCAATCCTCAAGCGGCTGTTGGCCATCCATCTCCACCACAAGCTCCTGGGGGTGGCCGCAAAGTCATCCTTGGCTTCTAGCCCCAAACACCCATCTAGATGGAACTCTGCTGGGCTCTCATGACTCCCCATGTTTCCTCTGTTGTAAAACTCATCAGGACATACTGGAATTTCTTGCTCAATGAGGTGGAGATGGTCTTTCTTCCC